CTAACATCACTTCTTTCTCACTGTCACACATACCACCAAAACATCTGGGGTGGTGGCCTGTGCCAGAACTCACACCAAGATGTCCAATTGGTCAGATGACCCCAAGGACTGGACAAATGCCTCCTATCAGATGTCTCTCCATCCCACTAATGGTTTTGCTACACTGAGAAAATAGTTATGGCTTAAAAAAACAAACAAACCAAAACAAAACCAACAACAACAAATATATATATATGCAGTTTGGAAGCCAAGGTGAGGAAAAAAAGAAACAAAAGGCTAAATATAGCCTTTAGTGTGTGTGCAGTCAGGTATGTGTTTATTCACACACTTATGCTACATACATAGAAGCATCTCAAAATATATTGGATGGTTGAGAAATTTCAAGAGAAAGCACAGAATATTATAACCAGAAAGCATAAAAGAAATAAAGTAGCTGATTTGGAAAAGAGTGGAAAGTACTTTTGATTGGATTTCTACTAACTGTGGGAAAGCTACTAGGGGAAAAGTGGGAAATGTTTAAGAAACTGTTGATTCTTCCCACCTCAATCTATACAGGGAAAAGTGCAACACGGGCCATTGTGGTTAGGTAAGGAATGAAATGCAAAGAGTTTTACAAGCAGAGAGCTGAAAGCTTTTATAAAAGATAAACAAATCTGGTGCAGAGGATTTGGAGGCACTGTATGTAAAAATAAGCAGAAATAAGTTAAAGGATCAAATTAATGGAGAAAATGGAATTACTGAATGCTAAACTACATAAATATTTCAGCTGACAACAATGGCCCTTTTAGATATATTCACATTAAAGAAAATGGAAAATATAATAGTGGTCTCCTAAAAATGCACAAAAAATGAGCAACAGGAACAAAGGAAATGGTCTAATAATAGTATTGTGAAGAGAGGGAGAAAATAAGCATTATATTACTGTTCCTGATTTAGAGCCTAGTCCTTCAGGAATTGAAATGCTTCTCTTTACTAATTTAGGAGCAGATCTTCAGCAGCTCTAAGCGGAGGCCAAGATGGAAAAAGCAGTGGCAAAGTGTGTGACAAAGTATGACACTTTGTCCACTTTGTCTCCCAATTGTGACTATGGGGCTGGTTCAGGCTGCTGTGCTTGTAAGAGGAGGTGTGAAACTCCTGCAAATACTGCCTGGCTGCAGTGATCCTAAAGGCTCCTTTCTGGTATTTGTGAATGACTGGAGGTCAGCTGTTCTCTGATCACTTACTACATTCTGCTCAACTTGACTGCAGGTAGCAGGGTGGTATAAAGCTATTTTAACAACGCTTTAACATTTGTTAGTCCAGAGAAATCCCAAGGTAGCTCAGCAACATTTGGGTAACTCCCTACCAATTTAGTTTATATCTTGTGTCCAAGAAAGAAAATATGGATGCTAATTGTTAAGACAATATTAAAGCTCTGTATAACACAACACGCTGTGAAGAGTTATCAATGACAGCCAGATAGTCAGTGACCTACAGTTTTTGGACCTGAAATATCTACTTGCTTTACATGGCTCTCTTGTATCATACAGATCTTCAAAGTAAGGCACTTACGCAAAGGAGGATTTACAGAGGGGATAGGAAGGCTACACTCCCCTTTGTATCAACATATGCTCATGCCGTTTGATGGACAGAGGCACTGCTCTGTAGTGGATAAACTAGCATTTTTCTTTCAAGCTCTCTCTCACCATCTGGCTCCACACCTGTTATGTGTTAAGCTTATTTTCAGTGATGATGAAAAACATTTAGGATGATCTAATAGATGTGTACAAAATAATGAAGAAAATTATAATGATGCACATGGTAAAACACCCTCCCTTCCAAGAGGCCAAAAGCCACTGTAAACATAAATACAAACAAAATCCAGTAAGAACCTTTTCATGGAAATAAATAAACACCTGGACTAAGTGGTCACACTGGGAAAAAAAAAAAATTGCAACAGTAATTTAAGCATTTTCATATTTCAAATAAAAATTTAAAACACTGTAAAGAAGGTATGAGGTAAATGTAAGAAGAAAATAAAAAGAAGACACTTGGATATGTCCATATGCAGGCTGCATATGGAATAAAATCAACTGCAAATGAGCAATTGTTTTTTATTATTAGTTATCATTAATTTATTCATTCTTCTGACATCAAATGTATATGAAGCTAAAGCCAGATACTTACAGTGGAATTACAAGTAAACACATGCTTACAAGTATTGCAAGAACAAATCCTGATTTCTTATTTTGAGCTATCACTGTTGAAGACTTTGGCACTGACATCTTATGCCTGGCCCCTCATACATGATGTTAACTTTTCAGAAGTAAGACCACTGTAACCAAGAAGAGCTCAAAAAGTACATATACCCTGTGCCAAAAATACATATGTTTTTGTACTGCCTTTGAAATTAGTGTTAAATCTTTCATATAACTAAAAGTATGGAAGTATGCTTGATTTCTTCTTCATCAGCTCTACTCTCCCAGTTCTGCTAACTTTTGCCCTGAGGCACAATGCTCACACGTTCAAATACTGCCTAAACACGCTGGACGACAACCCTCTGTTTACACACAGGGCAACTCGCAGTCCAAGTTTCCCTTCTCAATCTTCAGATGTTTTCATGTTGTTCTCAACAGACTGTGTCTCAAGGCAAGAAGAAACATGGTTTCGTTATTGCTTTGTTTGGATGATTGCTGATTACCGCCCACCACGGATGCGGGGGTTTGTGCTGTGTTTTGGCCCAAGTTTACTGCAGCTCTTGCCCATGTCCCACAGCCAAACCAGCAGAAAATGGGGATGGCTGTCACTCCCCATTGCTCTCCACCAGCTTGGAAACCAGCCACTGAGAAGCTGCTTCTCATTACTGCTGCTGGACAGTCTTGAGCCATATTTGTGTACGGTGATTAATTCAATGAATTTGGCATGCAGAAAAGAAAGGCCTCAAAATTGCATTATTCCAGTGAAAACACCTGGGTACCCTTAGGAAACAAATATAACAACACCAGTACTGAGAAAAAAGAATCACTAAGAATTTTAAAAGGGGGAAATATCTTCAAGTCACAGCTTTTATGTACCAGAACCAGCTTGGTAAAACAGATCCTTCTGTAGTGTTATCAAATGCTCTGGCACATGGCTGACATGCAAAAGGCAGGTTTCTTGTTCTGCAAAAATATTAGAGCAGGACTGCACAACTCCGTTCATTAAAGGTTTTTTGCTTTAATGTTAACAGCTTTGATAGGTGTTTTCTATGCCACTATGAAATAAAACCATAGCAAAAGGAGTTATATTTTTGTGACCAATGAAGTTGAAAAAAATCTACAATTTTGACTCACAGTCAGTAATGTCTCTCTCCTCCTTCCTCTCCCAGATTTTGGAAAAGAGAAGGCACTGAAGAATTTGAGTATCACTTAGTTTTCTTGCTTCTCCCTTAATAAAATACAGCAAAATTTAAAGCTTTAGTAAATGGAAACACATCCTATCCTCATGTATCAAATGCTGGTAAAACTAAGAAGTCAGGGTGTCTAAACCAGTAACTCTTCTACATCACTAGCCTCTAACATTAAACAGCCTCAGCTGGTGTCCAAAAGTGTCATTGTGGCCCAGATTTTTGGAGCCTTTCTAAATGGAAGTTCAGAATTAAAAATGTACATACAATTCTAGAATCAGTGTCATTTAGTATTTCAAATAGCTGCTGTACAGAATGGCAGCAAGCAGGACAGAGTAGAAGATAACTTCACCCCAATAATTTAATTTGTTGTTTTAATTTAAATAAATAAAACCGCATTCCTAGGCATTGGCACCAGATACATAAAAATTGCATGTACTCTGAGATTCCTACTACGTATCTCTCAGTCACCCATTTGAGGACAGAACAACCTAATTTCAGTACTCTGAACAAGGTGCGAGTGGTGAGTCTTTCCAGTACTTTTCTATGGAAATCTCCTAGGCCCTGCTCTATTAAAAAAATAGGGGGAAATACCTTTTAAATCAGTAATTTCTGTATTCCATCAGTAGCACTAAGTTCATATATGATGAACTTAGAAAACAAAAGAAAGGGAATATGATGTGACAAAAGCATTTTACATGTTTCATTGCTATGAAGTCCTATCTTCTCAAGTTCACTGTCTGTAACATCAATTTAAATGAGATATAGGAGGACAATTCATTCTCATTCTGCAGCTTTCACCTGGCTTGCAGAACACTTTCAGTGCTTAAAATTCTGTATTTACTTTTCTGAACTATATTTCTGTTCACTGGTGTGATGAGAAGAGCATCTTCTTCACACCAATGGTCTTTAGACCTTTTCTCTACACTCACAAATTAATTAGGACCAACCACATGCTAACCAGCCATAGTCCTCGTGGGGGACTTTAACCATCCTGATATTTGCTTGGGGGACAACACAGTAAAGCTGTGAAGTCCAGGAAGTTCCAGGAGTGCACTGATGACAACTTCCTCCTCCAAATTGTAGAAGAATCAACATGAAAAGGTGCTTTGCTGGACCTTATTCTCACCAACAGAGCCAGCCCGGTGACTGATGTAACACTCAGTGGGAGGCTGGGCTGCAGTGACCACAACACTGTAGAATTTAAGATCCTTAGGGCAGCAAGAAAAGTGCAAAGTAAGCTGAGCGCACTCAATTTTGAAAAAGCAGGCTTTGGTCTCTTCAAGGATCTTCTTGGTAGGCTAAAATGGGACAAAGCCCTGGATGGGAGGGGAGCCCAGGAAAGCTGGTCCATATTCAAGGACCAATGTGTCCCAGTGAAGAGGAAAACAGGCAGGAGTGCCAAGAGGCCTGCATGGATGAGCAAGGAACTCCTGGATACATTTAAGTGGAAAAACAAAGCTTATAGAGGGTGGAAGCAAGGACAGACATCCTGGGAGAAGTACAGAGAAGTAGTCAGAAAAGCAAGGTTAGGAAAGCAAAAGCACAGGGAGAATTGGAGCTGGTGAGAAAGGTTAAAGACAATAAGAAAAGTTTCTACAGGTACATCAGTGCTAAGAGGAAGACTAAGGAAAACATGGGCTCATTCCAGAAGGAAACTGAAGAGCTGGTTATCCAAAATGTAGAGAAGTCTGAGGTACTCATTGACTACTTTGCCTCAGTCTTCAATGGCAAGGACTTTGGCCACACTCACCAAGTTACGGAGGCTAAAGACAGCGACTGGGAAAAGGAAGATCCCCCCCACTGCAGACAAAGAGAAGGTGCATTACCACCTGAAGGTGAACAAGCCATGGAACCTGATGGGATTCACCCACAGCTCCTGAAAGAACTGGTGGATGAAGTTGCAAAACCACTGTCCATCATATTTCGAAAGTCATGCCTGTCCAGTGAAGATCCTGCTGACTGGAAAAGGGGAAACGTACCCCCATTTTCAGGAAGGGAAAAAAAGAAGACCCAGGAAACTACAGGCCAGTCAGTCTTACCTCTGTGCCTGGCAAGATCATGGAGCAGATGCTCCTGAAGGATCTGCTAAGGGAAGCAGATAACTAAGGGGTGATTGGAGACAGCAAACATGGCTTCACTAAGGGCAAGTCCTGTCTGACTAGTTTGGTGGCCTTTTATGATGAGGTCACATCCTTGGTATACAAAGGAAGAGCAACAGATGTCATCTACCTCGACCTGTGCAAACCTTTTGACACAGTTGCACATGACATTCTGGTCTCAAAACTCGAAAGTTACAGTTTTGATGGATAGACCACTCATTGGAAAAGGAACTGGCTGGATGGTCACACCCAAAGAGTTGTGATCAATGGCTCAATGTCCAAATGAAGACGTGTGACAAGTGGTGTTCCTCAAGGGTCAGTACTTGGACCAGCACTGTTTAACATCTTTGTTGTCAACACAGACAGTGGAATTGAGTGCACTCTCAGCAAGTTTGCTGACAACACCAAACTGTGTGGTGAAGTCAACATGCTGGAGGGAAGGGATGGCATCCAGAGGTCCCTTGACAGGCTTGAGAAGTGGGCTTGTAATAACTACATGAAGAAGGTTCTGCACTTGGGTCGAGGAAATCTCATGCACAAATAGAGCTTGGGAGAAGAAAAGATTGAGGGCAGTCCTGTGAAAAGGACATGGGGATGATGGTGGATGAGAAGCTCAACATGAGCCAGTAATGTGCGCTCGCAGCCCAGAAAGCCAACTGTACCCTAGGCTGCATCAAAAGATGTTTGGCCAGCCAGTCAAGAGAGGTGATTCTTCCGCTCTACTCTGCTCTTGTGAGACCCACCTAGAATACTGTGTCCAGTTCTGGAGCCCCCAACATAAGAAGGACACAGAGTTCTTTCAGCAAGTCCAGAAGAGGCTGACAAAAATGATCAGAGGACTGGAGCAACTCCTCTATGAAGACAGGCTGAGGAAGCTGGGGTTGTTCAGCCTGGAGAAGAGGAGTCTCAGAAGTGACCTTACAGCAGCTTTCCAATACCTGAAGGGGGCCTACAAGAAAGTTGGGGCAAGACTTTTTGCATGGGCATGTAGCAAGAGAACAAGGGGCAATGGTTTAAAACTTGAAGAGGGGAGATTTAGATTAGATATTAGGAGGAAATTCTTTACTATGGGGGTAGTGAGACACTGGAACAGGTTGTCCAGGGAGGTCACAGAAGCCCCATCCCTGGCTGTATTGAAGGCCAGGTTGGATGGGGCTCTAAGCAACCTGATCTAGTGGGAGGTTTCCCTGCCCACGTACAGGGGTTGGATCTAGATGTTCTTTAAGGTCCCTTCCAACCCTAACCTTTCTATGATTCTATGATCTTTGATAAAAATACAAGGGTTCAAAATCCAGTGCTTCTTTAACTTTATCTAAATAGCAAAACCTCTGATATAAAAGCTATATTGTGATTAGTAACCAAAGCACTAGTAAATTAGTATTTGCTTGTTCAAGATGTTACTACAATATTTTGGATAAGACTCTTCAGTATAAAATACTGATTTTGTCCATTATAAAGCAAGACCATGACAGAAATCTCTTACCTGATCCTGTACTGAACTTTTACTTAACTTAAACAAAACATAGATAGCAGCCACTTTTGCCCCTGCAGTACTCATAAGAAATAAATACACTAATTTGGAAAAACTTTGTCCCAATTTCACCTTGGTCCTCCTCTGGGGAAAAAAAAAAAAAAAAAAGAAAGGGGTATTTTTTCTTTCTGACCTCTTTCCTAGCAAAGACAAATAGATTGTGTGCAGAGTTTATTACAAGATTGATCAGGATAATTGAGGTATAATTTTCCCAGCTATTTCTGTCATCATTTTTAAAGGCAAAGATTATTATGTTTCTCTTTCACCCATCTGGGAAAACACACAGTGTTCTCATATAAATTGACCATTTCAGCAAGGATGTAAGACCATCTTTTTGGATGAAGCTAGTAGCTCTGCCATTAGGCCATCCTCTCTCAAGACTTAATTTTTCTTATTAATAATTGTCAACACTATCTCTTTTTCAGAAATAACCAACCATGCCTAAGTCACCTATTCCTCTCTGGCACATCACCAGCCAGTATTAAGTCCAAAATATGGCTATGGCTCTGCAGATATTTAAAGATTCACTTGCTCCTTATGAAAAATTTTACAGACAATCCCTTTTCTATAGCACACTTTGAAAGAATAATTATTGAACATTTATGTGAGAACAAGATTCTTTATTTTTTTTTAAGGTCAACTCAAAATTAAACTCCAAGTCCCATATTTTTGCTGGAGTGATGATACACAAAATTCTGTTCTCATTCATGCCAATCTTCCAGTGCCATAATTTAAGCAAATTACTCTTAATTGCATTTAACCTTTCAGAGAACAACATCCTGACTGTCTGCTTTGTTACTTTTCACTCAATCCTTCCTTTCCCTGTATGCTGTTCTGTTTCTGTTAACTGTAGTATCAGCTATCCCAAGTATTTCTGTTCTGAAATACATTTTCTTGATGCAATATTAGATAATTTTCCAGACCTGAGATAATTACACTCTATTTCACTGTGATCACTTACATTTCAACCTATTTTAACCACCAGTTTTCTACCTAGGAATTTTGTATCACTCACCTCTAGTTCTTAATGCTTGAAAAGGTTAAGACTTTGAGTCAATTTTTTTGCCTCTGCTTACTACTAAGGTTAAACCAAGCCATAAAATAGGTTAACAACACATGCATGAGTGTATATCACTGTTTGTATTAGTGATCTGAACCCTGACTTTGTTATTTTTCTAGAACTGGCAGCAATAAAAGTTTCTTACTGGATTTAAAGCCAGTGATTTCCAAGTGTGCTCATGACATAAGCATATTTAACCTTCAGTGTTCATACCACATCTAAGCATCTGTGTCCATATTAAACACTTATCTATATGTATACACAGAATCTTTGATGTACCTTGTGCACCAAATCCAGTAATTCTATAAATATAAGCAAATTGAGCTTCTTGATCAACATTTGACTTAAGAGTAATAATATTAATGAATTTATACTGTTCCACCACACTCTTACACAAAAATAAGGCATTTGAATGAAATTGTTTTGTGAAAATGATTATGAAAGTGAAAAATAAAATCAAATTAAATAGCAAGCTTTGAAAATTAGGATCATGGTGTTGGCTTTTAGTTAAGCAGGACTTTTTCCAGGACTGTCAAGATCTCTTCTAAAATGAACCACAAATCATTCACTGTCTATCTGGGAAGTTGAAAGTGCTTCAATGTTTTACCCAAGAGTTTGCCTGCTCTGACTGGCAGCAAAATAAATATGATGGGTGGTCTGTTTAAGGCACCTGTCCAAGCCCAATCACATTACATTTTCATAGTATCAACATTTGAAAACACTATAGCTGTTGCATCACCAAAAGTGCATGGGAATATTTCCAAAGCAGATGGCAACTAGCACATCACAAAAACATGCAGATTCCTGAGCCAATTTATATAGCAAAACAGCATCTACCACAGAGCAAAGGGAAGAATAATTAGCATATTCGAACATTCAGAATATCCCAACATCACATGGTTTATGCTAAAGGGCCATGAAAAGTAATTGCTCTCACGTAATACTGGTTTTCATTTGGACAGGACCAACTTACAACAGGGTTTATCCAACTGAGTAATTCCCTTTCAATTGGAAAGAATACACAATTCACTTGAAAATATTGGCTAACTTTTACATAACATAAAACACAGAAATCCAGACCAAGATCTTCTTATTTCAAAAACTTAAGTGGTTTGGTGTCAGTTCTTTTAAAGCAATATGGTTTTAATGTCATTAATGTATGAAATTTTACTGTAATTCACAGGTATCCAGTAAAGGCCACATCTCAAGACAACAGTGAGCAATCTGCACCTATATAATACATAACACTTCATGCTGGTTTTGTTCACATACTCCATGCTAGGTCCCTTTGCAATTGTTTCTGCAAAGAACCCTGATTATGTTACACAATGGTAACTTGTGTGATTCACATTGTCTGAAATCCTAATTATTTAACTTTCTACATAATCCTCTCTGTGTTAATTGACTTAGAATGGAGTCATTCCAGTATCCACAGGTGGCCCAGTTTTGCAGTTTTCACATGCATGAGAATTAATTCAGATATGTAATGGAAAAACTGCTCTACAGCTAGGCTTAGATCAGATCCAACACCCCAGTGGTTAACCTTTCTACAGTGACCTGCTCATATTTTTCATACTCTAATTCCATAGTTCCTCTGCTGAAATCTCTCTCTCTCTCTCTAAATCCTTGTTATTGCTAGCTCGATGGTGCTGATTGTAAACATTTAGGTACATATCAGATATGACAGAACTGGGTCATAACTATTTTATTGTCACTCAACCACCACATTCCAACTATGAGAGTTTAGAGATCCAAACTGGGACTCAATTAGACTTGAGAGGCAGCATTTTCCATGGCCTCCTAATAATGGTATGGCCATGACCTGGAATCCAACAGCATGAAACCTTAGTAGAAACTCAAGATGTGCTTAATCTTGCCTAATTTGAGATGTCCAGACTTCAGATGGATATAGCTGAGCTCATGGCCATAGGTACCCTTTACAGACCACAGAGAAGACCCACTGTCTCTATTGACTACAGAAAAGCACCAGTGATACCCACAAAAAAAAAATCTGTACCACTGCAGTCCAATTAAACAAAATAGTAAGTACAAATCATAGATTTTATCCTTAGCACACAGAAAAAACAGTACGTCCAGAACTTATTATCAGAGATTATAGGCCTACTTTTTTGGGACATAAGTAATTTTAGAAAAATAAATTAATATAACAACTGTGTATATGATAGTCACCCTGCATATTGGTTTTATATTCAATCATAAATATATATATGTATGAAAAATGTATCAATGTATATTATATGTCCTTATACCACATCTGGTCTACG